CCAACATTAAAAAAATATACAGCCTGGCACCATGGTTCATGCCTCTAATGCCAGCACTTAGGGAGGCTGAGGTGGGAAGATCACTTAAGGTCAGGAGTTCAAGATCAGTCTGGCCAACATGACAAAACCCTGTCTCTGCTAAAAATAAAAAATTAGCTGGGTGCGGTGCCGGGTGCCTGGAATGCCAGCTACTCAGGAGGCTGAGGCAGGAGGATCGCTTGAGCCAGGAGGCAGAAGTTGCAGTGAGCCAAGATTGAGCCTGGGTGACAGAGTGAGACTCTGTCTCAAAAAAAAAAAAACCCACAAAAGCTGAAGTCCCCATTTGACAGTGAGCTGGGTCCCGGCTCCGGGAGATGCTTGACTTTGTGTCCTGGCCCTCAGCACCATTATTAGAAAAATGTTAACATTTAGATACTTTAAATGTTAATAAAACCTTTTTTAGTCTCCTTTCCTGAAGAAGTTCACAATCTAATTTCAGAGAGACAAACAGACAGCGAACCCTGGGGAGCAATTATAAAGTAAAACAGAAGCAGGTCCAGAGAGCAGTGGACAAATTACAAACACAAATTAAAGAGCAAGGAAAGAAAGAACTATAATTTCACTGGTATATCTTTCTACTGCACTTCTCTTAGGTCATCAATTATATACACTCTATTCTTTCCTTCTCTATACCAGCAAAATTGAAAATAATGAAAGAAGAACCCAGTTCAATAGACTGACTGAAATGTTATGGCTGTTTTTAGTTAACAAGATGCAAACCTGAAAGATAAATCAAACACAGGTAACATCATGAATCTGTAGTGCTGAGATAACCAGGTCAAATCAACCGTAAGTAATTCTGCTTAATGACACAACTATTTATCAGATGAACACCTTGTCAAAGTGTAAGAAAAGGGTACTTTTATACCTAATGAAAAGACTCTCTTCCTTGTGGTACAAATGCTAGGTTTTATACTGAAAAACTATAACAAAATTAGTTAAGCTACCTTCAAAAGCAAGCACCGTAATGTGACAATAGAGACCAATCATAAGTAAAACAGTTGGGTTCCATTTTCATTCATATAACTACTATGGGAATCTTTGATACCATTCACTCTGTTCCACATTTTTTTTCTACCAGTCAAAATTACCTTTTAAAACATTACTGAGGCCAGGCGCAGTGGCTCAAGCCTGTAATCCCAGCGCTTCCGGAGGCAGAGGCGGGTGGATCACGAGGTCAAGAGATCAAGACCATCCTAGTCAACATGGTGAAACCCCGTCTCTACTAAAAATACAAAAATTAGCTGGGCATGGTGGCACGTGCCTGTAATCCCAGCTACTCATGAGGCTGAAGCAGGAGAACTGCCTGAACCCAGGAGGCGGAGGTTGCGGTGAGCCGAGATCATGCCATTGCACTCCAGCCTGGGTAACAAGAGCGAAACTCCATCCAAAAAAAAAACCATTACTGAAATTCTCTAACATAATGTAATTTTGGTACATAGCCTTTATCAAATTCCTACTCAAATTCTGAAATCATAAAAATTCACAAAAATAAATCATACCAAACACTGACACTAACCAACAACCTAATTGCAAAACCTAGGAGAAATTTTTATTAATTATAAGGTAGACAGAAAGGTCAAGATTAAGAAAAATTACCTAAACTATGCTTCAGGAAAATTCCTATGTGAAAGCTCATAGACCTAAGGCTCGTCCCAAAGGGAGAACTGAATAGCTGGTCAACTTCAGTGAAGTAAGGTACTATCCATGCTCCCATTCCCAATTTTCTATATCCTGACAGAGGATGCTTTAAAAAGAAAGAAAACACCAAGGCTGGGCAAGGTGGCTCTTGCCTGCAATCACAGAACTTTGGAAGGCTGAGGCAGGAGGACTGTTAGAGCCCAGGAGTTCAAGACCAGCTTGGCAATATGGCAAAACCTCTTCTCTACAAAAAAAAAAAAAAAAAAAAAATTAGCCAGGCATGTAGTGTGTGCCTGTAGTCCCAGCTACTTGAGAGGCTGAGGTGGGAGAATGGTTTGAGCCTGGGTAGTCGAGGCTACAGTGAGCAATGACTGCACCACTGCACCGTAGCCTGGTTGACAGAGTGAGACCCAGTCAAAAAAAAAAAAAAAGAAAACATCAACAGAATAAGTAGTGAGGGTGTTTCAGGGTAACAGGGCAGCAAGAAGAGAATGAACAGCAACACACAGAATTCTGGAAGTTTATAGTCCCACCTGTAGTGGCCCGGAGTCCAGGCTGAAAAGTTACTGATGGCACAGTGTATTCAAAACTTAAGTTTTACCCTCAACGACTTAAACAAAGGAACATACCTCAAAATAGTGAGAGCCATCTATGACAAACACATAGCCAACATCATACTGAATTGGGCAAAAGTTGAAAGCATTCCCCCTAAGAACTGGAACAAAACAAGGATGTCTACTATCACCACTTGTAATACTGGAAGTCCTAGGCAGAGCAATCAGGCAAGAGAAAGAAAAAAATGTGATCTAAACGGAAAAAAAGGAAGTCAAATTATCTGCCTTTGCGGATGACAGAATTCTAGGTTTTTGTTTGTTTTTCTTTTGAGACAGAGTCTCACTGTGTTACCCAAGCTGGAATGCAGTGGCGTGATCCTGGTTCACTGCAGCCTCTGTCTCTCGGGTTCAAGCGATTCTCTCACCTCAGCCTCCGAGTAGCTGGGATTACAGGCATGCATCACCATACCCAGCTAATTTCTGTATTTTTATTTTTAGTACAGACAGGGTTTCACCATGTTGCCCAGAGTTTGGTCTCAAACTCTTGATTGCGAGTGATTCTCCCGCCTTGGTCTCCCAAAAGTGCGGAGATTACAGGCGTGACTTACTGTTGGTATATAATTCCATACCTAGAAAACCCTACAGATTCTGCCAAAAGGCTCCTAAACCAGATGAATTACTTCAGTCAAGTTTCAGCATATGAAAATCAATAGTAACATGTGATGCCGTGCGTTTTGTAGTCCTAGCTACTCCAGGGGTGAGGCCAGAGAATCAGCTGAGCCCAGGACGCTGAGGCTGCAGTAAGCTGTGATTGCACCATTTAACTAATTTTGTTACAGTCTGACATTATGAAATCCAGCAACTCCAGCCTGGGCAACAGAACAAGACCCTGTCTATTTAAAAAAAAAAAAAAAAAAAAAAAAAGTAGCATTTCTATTCACCAGTGACGTTCAAGCAGAAAACCAAAAAATGCAATCCCATTTATGATAACCACAAAAGACATAAAATACCTAGAAATATATCTAATCAAGAAGAAGGAAGACTCTACAAGAACTACAAAACACTGCTGAAAGAAATCACAGATGACACAAACAAATGGAAAAACATTCCATCTTCATGGATTCCAAGTGTCAACATCATTAAAATGTCCAGACTGCCCAAAGTAATCCTAGCACTTTGGGAGGTGGAGGCGGGAGGATCACAGGAGGTCGGGAAATCAAGACCAGCCTGACCAAAACGGAGAAACCCCACCTCTACTAAAATTACAAAATCAGCCAGGCCTGGTGGCCCATGCCTGTAATCCCAGCTACTCGGCAGGCTGAGGCAGGAGAACTGCTTGCACCCGGGAGGCGGAGGTTGCTGTCAGCCGAGATCTTGCCACAGCAAAAGCGAAACTCCATCTCAAAAAAAAAAAAAAAAAAGTTAATGATGTTAATGGTTAAATCATCCTCCCATTTGCAATATTACATAAAAGATTATATATTCCCGGCACATAGTACACTGTACAGGGAGTTGTTCTGTTTTTAACCAGGAGAAATTGCAATGTTTTTAGTTTTCACCAAAAATAAAGTCTCACCAACATATTTTCTAACTCTCTTTAACATCACCTTAAACTGATGTTTTAATTATTTTAAGGATTTCCTTTGTCTTCAACGAGTAAGCAAATAGTTGGGTAAGTAGAAAATCTAAACTTTAATATACTAATACATTAAGTTCTTAAAAGACGGTTTTAAATGAATGATGTCCAACACCAACATTCCAATATATCAGGACTCTGATGATTTAGTAATCTGGTTGTCCTGGGATGGTCAGCTTATCCTGAGAAAATGTCACCTTTGGGGGTATAAGATTCTCATTTCTGTAATTCTACAATTTTTGTGTTTCTTCCCTAATCTACAGAGCCTTTCAATCCCCACTTCCAACCCCATTTACCTTACAAAATGCATCGCTCCCCTGCTTCTAATGCCTATTTGGTTAAAAACAAAATCATTTATATGAACACTGCCGAAAACTGCCGAGATCTTTCTTCCAAGTACACAAGAAAACTGAAGGGAAAAACGAGATGCTGAGCAGGCAACTCCTGAGAGGCAGGTGAGGCGGGAGTGCGAGCAAACTGCCTAAGTTGAGAAGAACAACGCGCTCCTTTTCGGACACTTTTGGAAATCGCAAACTGAGAACCAGCATCCCTAGACCTCCCCTCCGCGCCCTCCAGCAGTCCGTCGCCCCTCAACACTCAACAGTGCCCCCAACAAGTCCAGGAGAAAAACGGCGTCTGTCACTGCCGGGTCCTCTCCAACGACCCGAATTAACCTTCACATAGCCAGGCAGCGAGGCCGCCCGGCATAACCCCGGAAAAGAAGGCAGGAAAAGTGAAATGAGTGACAAATGCTTGGCGCTCCTCCGCCGACGCGGCGCCTACTCATCCCCATCTCCGCAGGCAGCCGGGGTGGCTATGGCGTGACGCTGCCGACTGGTCCTCCGTACTAACAGGTGTCCCCCCCCCCGTCTCTGCCTCTCAGCGTTTAACCTTCTCGTGCCCTCCTTCCCCATTCCCACCGTTGCAGGAGGCAAAAAAACAAGTCAGCAGTTGTACTCGGAAGAAAGGAGGGCGGCCTGACCGCGAGAAGGCCGGCTGTGGAAGGGCGCCGGCACCGTGCCGCAGGGCCAAAGATACAGCCAGCTAGGCCGCGAAGCCGGGGCGTCGCGTAGCCAGCGGCGCCGAGCAGAAGCACGGCGGGGAGGCCGGGGCCCAGTGCACATACTCACCAAATCTGGAACTTGAGCAGCGGCCCCGTGGCGTACTGCATCTTTAATCTCTTGCTGGGCACACCGCCCAGGTTGGCCGAGGCCTCGCTCCGGACCACCGCTGACGCCGCCACCAGGAGAAGCAGCAGAAGCCTCATCTTAACTGAGCCAGCCGCTTCGGCAGACCTCAGACTGATACTGCAGCCGGCTCAAAGCCCAGGCGCGAGCTGCTCCTCACAGCGCAGGCGCGATTAGCCAAGGTCGGGGGGGGGAGGGGAGCAGGAATGCGCCTGCGCGGCCCGGCGCCTGCGCACACTCCCGGAAAAAAAGAGCCGACCTGTTTCACTGTCCCGACTCACCACCATGTTGGTAGTGTGGCAGACCGTGGGACGGCATGAGAAAGGCAGACAGGGAGCAAAGTCGCTGGTGGGGTGTCACACGGCTTATGTATGAGGCAGATTTGAGTTCTGCATCCAGTTTTAGTAATTGATCCATTTATCTGCCTAAGACACTTGGAAACATCTTCTATTTGACAACCCTGATTCCAGTACGTATTGGCAGATAGAAGGGAGGAGACTCCTGACCCTCAGGATAGTAATGCTGAAATTTTTGGAGTGCCCTATTATGGCCTTTTCTTTGATCTTACAATATTGTTTTCTCTTAAAAGAATATTAAACATAAGTTTTTAAAAAACCTTTGGCCGGGCACTGTGGCTCATGCCCGTAATCCCAGCACTTTGGGAGGTCGAGGTAGACAGATTACAAGGTCAGGAGATCGAGACCATCCTGGCCAAAATGGTGAAACCCTGTCTCTACTAAAATACAAGAAAAATTTAGCCGGGCGTGGTAGCGCGCACCTATAGTCCCAGCTACTCGAGAGGCTGAGGCAGGGGAATCGCTTGAACCCGGGAGGCGGAGGTTGCAGTGAGCTGAGATCGTGCTACTGCACTCCAGTCTGACGACAAAGCGAGACTCCGTTTCAAAACAAAACAAAACAAAACAAAACAACAAACTTTGGACAATTCCAAACATATATAAAAATAGAATAACTACCTTAGCAAGCTTTAACAGTTACTAACATTTTGACAATTTTGATTTGTGTATATCTCTAAACACTGCTTCCCTTCCTAGTCATAGTTGGAAGCAAATCTCAGACATCCTATCATTGAATCTATATATATATATATTTTAACATGGTCTCACTGTTACCCAGGCTGGAGTGCAGTAGCATGATCATAGCTCACTGCAGGCTGAAACCCCTGGGTTCAAACAATCCTGCCTCAGCTTCCCAAGTAGTTGGGAATACAGGCACAGGCAACTACACCTGGCTTACAATTATTTAAGCATATACTTCTAAAAAAAACTATTATTTGAAAAAAAAAATGACTACAGTATCATTATCTCACCTTTAAAAAAATAGTAATTGCTTAATATTAGACAGTGTTCAAATTTATCCTGTGGTCTTAATAACTACTTATTTTCCTACTGTTCATTTGTTCAAATCAAGATCAAAGTGAAATTTACACATTGTCATTGGTTGATATGTCTTTTAGGACATGTCAAAGACTAAGACCAGAATCACACTAGCAATTGAACAATTTTGTTTATGATTAATTGCAGCAAAAGGGATGCTATGGTTTGAATATGTCCCCCAAAAAGCATGTGTTGGAAATTTAATACCCATCGCGACAGTGTTGGAAGGTGGTGCCTAATGGGAGATGGGGCCTAATGGGAGGGCTCCACCCTCATGAATGGATTAATGCCAAATATGAAAGGGTTTAAGTCTTCAATTTCTACCTATTGCTCTTTCACTCTTGCACTCTCCTGCACATTTACCTTCCACCACTGGATGATAGAACACAAAGCCCCTATAAGATGTGGAGCCCTTGATCTTGGAATTTCCAGCCTCCAGAACTATGAAATAAATCTCTGTCTTTATTAATTACCCAATCTCAGTTATTCTGTTATAGCAGTCCAAGATGGACTAAGACAGAGGAACGCACACCACGGGAAACCATGAGAAGACTCAATAAGGAGGTGTTAGGATCTGGGGCTTGATTGGATGATTTGGAAAATGGAACTGGGGTGCTGAGCGGTTCTACAGTCAGAGGTGTTCAAACCAGAGTGAGTTCATCTTGTGTAGGGACTGGGTAAAATGAGGTGGAAACGTGCTGGACTGGCACGATCTTAGCTCACTGCAACCTTTGCCTCCTGGATTCAAGCAATTCTCACGCCTCAGCCTCCTGAGTAGCTGGCACCATAGGCACATGCCACCATGACCAGCTAATTTTTGTATCTTTAGCAGAGATGAGGTTTTACCATGTTGCCCAGGGTGGTCTCAAACTCCCAGTCTCAACTGATCCGCCCACCTCAGCCTCCCAAAGTGCTGAAATTATAGGTATGAGCCACTGTGCCTAGCCTTGCTTAGGTTTTTCTGTTACCATTCCCACCTCCAACTCCTAAACAGAATTATAGACAAGGCCATCCTTGCAAGTTCAGATAGTAGACTGTTCGTGCCTGGGAGGCCATTACACAGAGGTGAGAACCCTAACCAGCAAGTTGTTTAGGCCAGCAAGCTTAAAAAGCAAGGACCAAACCTCTGTACAAGGTAGGGGCTAGAGGAAGAGCCTATGATAAATTCCAGAATGAGGACTTTTTAAATTCAGTTATCTAAAAAACACAGAGCTCAAATGTAAGAACAAACAAAATCATAACTAGCATCAGGTTGCTTTGCACAAGCATCAGAACTAATGCTGTATGATACTGTTTTTTACTTACTAAAAATAAAAGTGAAAAAGACTAATGATGTATACCTGGTTTTATTTTGTGGGTTTTAAGTTTTGGTTGCTGTGCTGGAGGGATAGTAGGATATGCCCACGTCACCAGCCCCTCCATAAAAGTCTCAGACCCTGAAACTCAAAGGGGCTTCCCTGGACAGAGACATACCACACCTTCACTGCCAGAGAGAGAAAGAGTGAGGGAACCCCTGTGTAGTCCCCAGTGGGAAATGCTGAGGAAGCCTGTGCCTGGCCTCTCTGAACTCCCTTGAGGCATATCATTTTCCCACTGCTTTTGCTCTGTAACCTTTGCTATAATGAGCCTTACTATGAATATTATTTGCTGTTCCATCTTGTGAGTCCTACCTAATCACTGAACTTGGGTCATTAGACCTCTGAAACAGAGGGCATGGGAGGAGTTCAGGGAGTACAGGATAGAGGAGGACCCGGTGAGCCTAGGGCCTTGGAAGAAGGTGATCAGGAAAACAAAATATATTCACTTATCAAGTTGTAATAATTGTGAGAGAAAAAAACTGTACTCAGTTTTGGAGATATTGTAGGGAAAAGGGTCATTTTATTATACTAACTTGGGAAAATAAGTCAGTCCAGTTTTTTGGAACTATAATTGTCAACATAAACCCAAAGCCTTAAAATGTACATGAACCTTGACCCAGCAATTCCACTTCTAAATCTAACCTAGAGAAATAATAATGTATAGCTAAAGACTTTAATTACAAAAATGTTCATCAGAATGTTATTTTATAAATTTATAAATCAGAAACAATCTCAGTGTCCAACACCAAGTTAAATAAATCATAGTATATTGATTTGGTGGCATTTTAACAACCATTAAATGACTTACAAGTTTTTATATATGTGGAAGCTATATGCAGAATAATATACAAAGAACTAAAAAGTGGTTGATTCTTGGGAGAAGAACAGGCAACAGAGCAGCTAGGGAACAGAGATGGCAGAGAAGTCATTCTTATGGCATAAGTAACTTTTGTATTTTAAAATTTTGTACTGTTGTCATGTTACACTTATTCAAAAAGTAAATAAAACAAACATTTTAGAATTCAATGAAAAATAAAGTGCTCAACATAGCGTTAAGAAAAAAATTGGGCCAGGCGTGGTGGCTCACGCTTGTTATCCCAGCACTTTGGGAGGCTGAGGCGGGTGGATTACCTGAGATCAGCAGTTCAAGACCAACCTGGCCAACATGGTGAAATCCCGTCTCTATTAAAAAATAATAATAATAAAGAAAAAAATTGGACTTTGAAACAGTAAAGTGTTACTAGATTATTTATATATTTTTTAAAGTACATAAAAAGGAAAATATGACAAAAATGTTTTGCTTGGCTCTATTTCCTACTAAACATTTTGGTATTTTGGTAATAAGAAAAAAAAGATAGCTGAGCATGGTGGCACATACCTGTGATCCCAGCTACTCAGGAGGCTGAGGTGGGAGGATTGCTTGAGCCCAGGTGTTCGAGGCACAGTGAGCCAATGACTGTAACACTGCTCTCAAGCCTGGGTGACAGAGCAAGATGCCACCCATAAAAAACAAAAATTTGGCCAGGCTGGTGGCACATGCCTGTAATCCCAGCACATACCAAGGAAGGGAGGATCACTTGAGTCCAGGAGTTTAAGACCAACTTGGGCAACATGGTGAAACCCTGTCTCTACAAAAAAATACTAAAATTAGCCAGGCATGGTGGTGCACACCTGTAGTCTCAGTTACTGAGGAGGTTGAGGCAGAAGGATTGCTTGAGTCAGGGAGTTCCAAGATGCAGTGAGCCATGATCACACCACTGCACTCCAGCCTGGAGTAGAAAAGAAACTAGAGAAGTAGAAAACAAAAATCTCCTCAGGTCTTAGTGGCTCCCAACTCAGAGCCAGCAGTCTTGGTGTGGTTGGCCACTATCTCTTCCTCTTCTAGGGAACAGGGGGATGTCTAGAAACAAACCAAAGAGCTTCTTGTAGGTCAGAGGGAGCTGAAATTTCAGTAGCTTCTATGCATGGTTGACTTTATGGGTATGTGACCTATGTAGTCACACAGGACTCTGCAGTTGGTTTAATGCTCTGTTGTCACAGTTTTGAAATTCTTAATAATTTCAAATAAAGAACTTTGCATTTTCATTTTGCGTTAGGTGCTGCAATTCTGAAGCCAGTTCTACTTATATGCCCAAGGCTGATCACTTCTCTACCACCATTAACATGACCAAACTTAACATGACCAAACTGTCCATCTGAAATTCCTTGAAAAAGTTTTTCACTGCCAGTGTTTAAAATGCAAATGTCTGCTTGAACTTTGTGATCTAAATGTATTATTTCAATCAATAAATTATGAGCCAGGCATGGTAGCTCACACCTGTAATCCCGAACTTTGGGAGACAGAGGAGGGAGGATCACTTGAGCCCAAGAGTTTAAGACCAGCCTGGGCAACATGATGAGACTCTATCACTACAAAAAAAAAAAAAGCTG